TCATTTGCAATATGTTGCACTGACTGTGGATCCAAACAAAATCAAGTCTTAGACAACTCTAGTCTTCTCTCTGTTTATTGTGATGTTATGTATTGGTTCAGTTGTGAGGATCTTTATTTTCTTTACATTGAGAAGCAATCCATACTGAAGACCGCATTCTTTGATCTTCATCAGTAAGTATTTTGAGTCCTATTTGCTTCCAATGAGTAAGGTTGTGTCATCTGCATATTGCAGGTTGTTAATGAGTCTCCCTCCAATCCTTGTTGATGCAACCGTTTTTGAATCATCTTCAGTAAAATTTTACTTGCCTGTGATATTATTAATATTATTCAATGATTTCCACGTTCTGTTGCGTCACCTTTCTTTGGAATGGGCACAAATCTGGATCTATTCCAATCAGTTAGCCAAACAGCTGTCTTTCCAATTTTTTGGCCTAGACAAGTGAGCCCCTCCAAGCTGCATCAGTTTATTGAAAGATTTCGATTGATATTCCATCATTTCCTAGAGCCTTGCTTTATTGCCAATGCTTTCAGAGCATCTGGGACTTCCTCCTTCAATACCATTGGTTCTTGAGTATATGCTTTTTCTTGAAGTGGCTGAATGTTAACTAATTCTTTTGAGTGCAGTGACTCTTCGTATTCCTTCTATCGTTTTTAAAAATAAAAAAATTTATAAAGCTTTTATTGTGAATTGAGTGATAGTTTACGTGGCAGAACATCAGTTTTGAACTCAATCAATCATAGTTTCACTACAATGATTACAATCCCCTCCGTGTACCATCGGTTAATAGTTTTTGCCTCTATTCATGCTTTGTTTTTGTTTGGTGTACACAAAAACACTCAGGAATATATACACTTGTTTAAACAACCACAGGGCACATTCTGCAAGCCTGCCTCCTGGCCGCCAGCACACACACAGTCTTTCTCTTTCCATGAGTCTAGAGCTCTCAGCTGCTCTCTCTCTCCACATCCTCATCTCTGCCTCCGTCTCTGGTGTCGCTGCTTCTCTGGATAGGGTCCCATGTTCCATTCAAGTTCTTGCTTCTTGACCTCCCATTGTCTTTTGATGCTTCCTGCATTGTTCATTATTTTCCCCCTAAAACTTGAGGCTTGATTCTTTTTCTTCAGTTCTTTCAGGTTGTGAAATACTGACCATGTTCTTCCCTTAGGGTTTCCTAACTCCAGGTCTTTGCACATTTCATTACAATGCATAGAAACAGAAAGTAGATTAGTGGTAGCCGCAGGCTGTGAGGAAGAGGGAGTGAGGAATGACTAATGGGTGAGGGGTTCCTTTAGGAAGGATGGAGACGTTTGGAACAAGACCGAGGTGATGGCTGTATAACACTTTTAATATGGTTAATTTCATTTTGGTGAATTTCACCTCAATAAAATAAAGATTTTAAACAGCATTCAATACAGTGGCATGTATCACTACTGAACCAAAGCTATCTTTCTCACGTAGATTCTTCAGATACACAGAATATACATATCGCATTATTTCTTCTTAAATCTATTCCTTTCTCCATTTCCACTGCCAGCTCTCCAATTCAGGCCGTTTTCTCTCCCCAACAAATCATTCTTCTTCCCCACCACCCACTTGTCCTCAAACACCCCACCGAAAGTCTACTTCCTTCATTTTTCACCTCTGATACCACAACGCTCAACAATTTCAGAACATCTCTAGTACACGGTGTGTTATTTCTTTGGTATTGCATGATTTATTACATAGTTACGAAAACCATGTACGACTTCTCTCCCCAACAAATCTCTCAATTCCTAAATACGAGACCATTTTTACTTACTTGCTAATGTTGGCAAAAAACACCCACAAAAAACATGCATGAGGTGTGTATAAGAAAGACTGACTAAAATGATGTAGGATTAACAGATGATTCTGGGCTGGGAACTCATGATATAATTGTGAAGGAATTGTTTTTGATAATGGTGAACAGTAAAAGCAGTGCTTCCTACAACATTTTCAAAAGGCGATTGAGGACCCTAGGACCATCAAGGGAGAAGAGCATGAGCGGAATGCAGGACCCTATCCAGAGAAGCAGCGACACCAGAGATGGAGGCAGAGATGAGGACATGGAGAGAGGGAGCAGCTGAGGACTCTAGACTCTGGAGAGAGAAAGGCTGTGTGCTGGTGGCCAGGCGACAGGCTTGCAGAATGTGCCCTTTGGTTGTTTAAATGATTATATATTCCTGAGTGTTTCTGTGTACATCGCCCCTCTCAAAAAAAAAAAAAAACTAGAAGGAATAGAAGCAAATACTGTTGAATGATGATTCATGGCGGGGATTGTAACCATTGCAATGAAATAATGAGTGCAAAACCAATGTTCTCCCATGTAAACTATCACTTAATTCACAAAAAAAACTTAAAAAAAAAAAAAGCCAATGAACGGATATGGTGCCTCTATTTGCAAAATGAGGGGCACAAAAGTGAAAGTGACATGGGCCCCAGTCCTTGTCCCTTTGTCAAACCTCAAGGGCCTCACTGTGGTTCCCCTATCAATGTTTTCCTCTCACACAGCTGGAACCTCACAGTCCTGGAGGGGCCTAGGCTGTGTTATTACCTGAAGGACCTGGCAGTGAAGCCCACGGAGATGCTGCGGGACTGAGGAGAACGGTGTGGGGGGTTGGGGAGGAGAGGGTGAAGGCACAGTTGTCCAGAAAGACTCACTTTGGTGTGGTATTCCATCTTCGTTCTCAGCAGTTTGAGGTAGACGCTACTGAGCTGCCCATACCCCTCACTCAGGTGTCCCTTTCAAAAAAGGAAAGAAAGCATTGGGTCAACGCTAAGAATTTTGGGGTTGAAAGACTTATAGTTAGAATTGGAATTTATTTTTCATGATTATGAAAAGAACAAATGCTCACTGTTGAAAATTTGGAAAATCTATAAAAGCGCACATACATATACACACAAGGTTCACCCTTAATCTAGTTTCTAGAAATAATAAAGGTTAACATTTTAGGGCAACCTTCCTTGTATTTATAAATACAAAATGGGACCAACTTGGTTTTTTTGTTTGTTTGTTTTTCACTTAATGCATCATCAATTTCTGTTTACTTTTCTTTCTTCTCCAGGTTTTAAAAAATCTTATTACAGAAACAAACATTTTGAACCTCTTCTTGTTTTATTTCCTCAGACAGTTTTCTCCGGCACCACTATTTTCTTGAATTACCAGCTTTTGATACTATCTATTGCCTTCCTGCCATGAGTTTGAGGATTTAGGTCTCTTATATTCCTCGGAATTTTTTGTCCACCTTCTCTTCCCTTCATGTAGATGCAGGACTGCCTTCAGATTCCCCACTGCACTTTCTTTAAATGCTGTTCTGTATCATTAATTTTAGTGACTGCCTCGTGGACTCTGTAGGATAAAGCAAGGTTGCCTTGAACTGCAAGGTTGGCAGTTCAAACTCACCGCCTGTTCCTCGGAAACCCTATACAGGGATGCTATAAGCTGGAACCATCTCAGAAGCACTTAACAATATACAACAACCACCATACTTTATGAAACCAATTCCCTACTACCATGTATCTTACTTGTTGGCAAATATTTGCAATTATAGATTATTATTTCAAGGAACATTTTTATAGTATGTTCTTGTTTACAAACATGACAATTCCTCAGGAACAATTCTGGGTAAGTTTTCTTATTTAAGAATTTTGAGTCTCCCACTCTTAGCAATGACAGGCTAGCCAAGGCCTATTCTTTTCTTCTCTATCTATCTAAGCACAGCGCCCTGGTGTGGCTGTGAACCACAAGGTCAGCCATTCAAACCCACCAGTTGCTCTTTGGAAACCCTACACAGGGTTGTTATGGGTTGGAACCAAAGTGATGGCACTTAACAACAACATCTAAACACAGGGGAGGAAACACCTCAAAGACTGAAAGAAGCTAAAATATTAAAAATTCAGGCCCTTATGTTGGCCTGTCCTGGGTCCCTGAGAAGAGGTTAGAACTAGCAAAGTAATGCTGTTAACTCACAGATATTTTAAAAAGGAGAGAAATGGGGGCAGAAAGAACCCTTCAGCGGCAGAGCTGTAGTTCCCATGTGAGTTTTGCCTTTTATATTTTAAGAGCATCGACACCATCTAACCATTGGGAGTCAAGTCAAGAAGCGCCGCTGCAAACATGCCGCAGAGGGCTTCAAAGGGAGGTGAGCATGCAGAGGAAGGCGGCAAAGACACACGTGCCGGAGATGAGTGGCATCTCGGTTTATTCATTTTCTCTGAACAATTCTCATATTGATTTTATGTAATACTTGCCCGTTGTAGAAAAACTGGAAAACATCAAAAAGTAGAACAAGAAGGGAAGATAGTCTCAAGATCAACTCATAGTATAATTAAGAGAAAAAGGCACCTAGATGAAAGATGTAAAAGGTGACTCCTAACTTCCAAAACTTGTCACACTGATGAGACACAACTACACAGCAGAAGAGACCGATAGGAATGTCATTATGGAACAAGGAAGGCTAGGTACCTTCCCACTGAAAAGCACTAAAAATATTAGGTCAAGTATGAAAACCTTATTATTGAAGGCATTAAGAAGCTAGCAAGAAAATAAGGAGTCCTCACAAATGAGTAACTCAAGAGAGGTAAATAGAATACTGGGGTGGGGTAGGGAGGGGAAGGGCAGGTGGTAAACAGGAGGCAGGAGTCTGACCTGCCCAAGACAAGGAATCAAAAGCAAGAGTCCCAGGACTGGCTTCTTAATGCAAATGCCAGGCTCATTCCTGAGGACTACGGAGAAAACCTGCAGTACCAAGCCACTGTTGTGAGCAGAGGGAAGGGGGGAAATTACCCTGAGAATTAGACTCGTGAGCCAGTCCTGCATCCCAGAATTCACAGAATTTAATTGAGAGTTGTCTCAGTGGAAACATACGTTAATTCTCTCTAGAGGGACTTGCTATCATTAGAGACTTCAAAGATTTCCACCAATGAAATTTTAGGGAAGCTCAGCAACTCACAGTAAAAATAATGAAGCACCAAAAGGAAACAGAACATGAGCAAAATTCTCCAAAAACAACAGATGGCAGAATCAGATATAAGGACATTTGTTGTTGTTGTTGATTGCTGTCGAGTTGACTTCAACTCATAGGAATCCTGGATGACGTTTCTGAAGAGTGAATGGTGAATCTGAACCACCGACCTTGCATACCAGTACACTACCCCACAGCGCTACACCAGGACTTTAGATCATAGAATTATAAATAGTGATGTACAAAATGACTACGAAGTTTAATATGTCTAAAGAAGAAAGACACAAAAATATATAATGGATGATGAGCAGACTGAAACGAAAGTAGAAGTTCAAACAATTAGTCCAATAGCCTGATGGACCACGTGAATGTCTGTCTCTGTGACTCTGAGACCAGAACTAGATGGTGTCTGGCTTCTTCTACCAACTGCTCTGAAAGGACTCACATTAGAAGGTCCTGGGTACAGTGGGGAGAAAATGTGAAACAAAACTCAAAATCATAAAAAGGATTAGGCTTACTGGTTGCATAGAGACTGGTGGAACCCTTGGGACTATGGTCCTAAGTCACTCTTCAGGGTTGGATCAGAACCCTGTGGGCTCAAGTTTCAGCTAAACAATGGATCTATGACGGAGACACTAAGCATGTCTTACAGTAGTCAACCATTCGGATCAAAAGGGCAGCATTTACTGAAGGACAAAGAAAGTTCCATAAAAACTAGTTACATAGGAAGGATATAAACAAGAAAGGCAGCGAGGAAGTGGGATCAGTGATGTTACATTGAGGGGATTACAGTCAGTGAGATGAAACAAAATGTGAATGAAATGTCGAATGTAAAACTGATGATCTATCTGATCGATTCACAATAAAAGGTTTATTAAAAAAAAAAGGAAGTCCAAGAAATGAAACTTATTTTTAAATTTAAATGCCATCATAGTGACACTGTATGGGGTTTCCCAGGAGGGGCTGGTGAGTCTGAACTGCCAACCCTGCTGTTCAAATTGACCTTGCAGTCCAGCGCTTCTCCTACAGCATGACACTACGTTAGGTAAAACTGAAATCTGTCTGGAGATGCTTAACAAGAGATTAGACTCTGGTAGCATAGTGGTTATGAGTCAGTCTGCTAACCCTCATGGTCAGCAGTTCGAAACTACCAGCCATTACGTGGGAGAAAGATGAGGTTTTCTGCTCCCATAAATATTTATAGCCTCGGAAACCCTATACAGGGTTGCTATGAGTTGGAACTGACTCCACAGTACATAGCCACCAACTACCAAAGAACAAATGAAATGAAAGTAGATGAGTTTTCTGAAGACTTATTTAGAATTATAGATGTAAATAGGTAGAAAAATGAAATGGCAGTTTAGAGATATGGGGAATACAGTGAGATAGAAAATAAAATGAGCAAGTTTAACAGACTTCTAATCAAATGTAGTGCGCTGTTGGTTAGACAGACTGCAAAGTTGGTTGAACCAGAAGGTCAGTGGTTCAAGCTCACCAGTCGCTCCTCGAAAACCCTATACAGGGTCACTATGGGTTGGAACTGACTCGACGGCACTTATCAACAACTATCAAAACCTCAGAAGGAGAAGGCAGAAGGGAGCAAAGGCAATATGTGAAGAGATAATGGAAAGTTTTCAGAACTGATGAAGGATAATAATCCACAGATGTAAGAAACTCAAAGAATCCCAAATAATTTACACTTTCATGTACTGAACTGTGGTCCCCCCGCCCCCCCATATATGCATCAGTCTAGCTGGGTCATGGTTCTCAGCTGTTCTGACAGCTACACAATGATGTAACATGGCAGTTAAGTGATTCTCAGCCATGATGTGATCTGAGGTAATAAACCAGTAAAAGGATTAAGGGTGGGATATGACATGCTCAATCTCACTGCAGAAAAAGGAACTTCCCTGGGGTGTGATCTGCAACATCTTTTATCTTGCAAAGATAAAAGGGCAGAGAGGACTACATCCTTTTGACCTGGGGTCCCTGCACTGTGAAATTCCTAGATCCAGGGGAAGACTGATGCCAAGACGCAAGGAATGCTGGGTCTACAGAAGATGAAAGGAGATAAGACCTTCCCCAGAGGTAGCAGAAAGAGAGAACTTTCCCCTAGAGCTGGGCTCTGGATTTGGATTTCTAGTTTTCTAGACTTCGAGAGAATACATTTCTGTTTGCTATAGCCTATCCATTTATGGTGTTTCTGTTACAAAAGGACTAGAGAACTGAAACACACTTCAGCACATCCTGGTGTAGCACTGTAGGATCAGCACTGGACTTCAAACCACAAGATCAGCAGTTCAAACCCATCAGCTAGCTGCTCCTTGGAAACCTTATACAGGGTTGTTGTGAGTCTTGATGATACTTAACAACAGCATTTTAAAATTGGCTAGAGGACACAACATGAGAAGATACATGCACACCAATGTTCATAGCAGCAGAAGATATATGCACACCAAAGTTCATAGCAGCAGAAGATATATGCACACCAATGTTCACAACAGCACTAGTTATAACAGCAAAAAGATGGAGACAGCCAAAGTGCCCATCAACTGAAGAATGGATAAACAAACTGTGGTACATACACACAATAGATCCTACCTTGAAGAAGAACAAGGAAGCTGCATGCCACCACATAACATGGATGAACCTTGAGGACATTATGTTGAGTGAAATTAGTCAGTCACTAAAGTAGAAATACTGCATAGGACCACTACTGTAAAAGACTAAGAAAAAGAACCCATACTAAAGGGGAGGCACATTTCTTTGCTGGTTACCGGGATGTGGGGGGGTGAGATGAGGGGAGGGAGGGGAAGTTGGAGCACAGGGCAGGGAATAGACACAGGATAGTTTGAGTGCTAGGGAGGTGGACAATACGCAAGAAGGGAAAGGGGAATGGAAGAACAAGGCGGATGGGAAAACAATTAGACAGGTTTGCATGGGCTAAGTGAGACAGAGGTAAATAATGATGTATGCACAACCTTGGAACAACAAGGCTCTGGGATACAGGGATTGAGACATGGTTGGAACAGGCAAAAGGGAGGAAATAATGTTAAGATGCTTGACTATATTTTGAATCTTGGTTTCCCTGGCATACCATTATAAAATAGACACTTGAAGGAGAGAGAAAGGAATAGGCAGAAATATCACCATAGAAAGCTTGTAAGTCTTTCTGTATATAACTGATTGGAATACCTAAAATAGGGCAATGATGCCCAGTGAAGGAGGCTTCCTGTGGAGCCTCTGCATTACATAAGACCATAAGTGGAATCGTGAACCCCATCCAGAATCTTCTGAGGTGGGAAATTTCCACTTGAAAGAACAAGCAGACCAGCCTGGAGCAGCTAGAACAGAAGATACTTCTTTAAAGAAAGACCAACAGGAAAAATACAAAACAATAATGGTAGTCCAACTGATTACTACAAGAACAAGCAAGTTGCTTGCCCCGGAGACATCAAGACACCCAATCAAGTGGTTGGGTCCCCTCAGGGCAAACCCCCTTCCAAGACTAAGATTCAATGGGAATACACGAACAGACATGTGCTCTGATTGGTGACTACGTTTGTCACCAATAATGAGAAGTGAGGAAGAACAGGAATGAAGCTGTGAGCTAAGCCCTGCAACGTTCAATAGACTCCTGTGAACCCGGGTGGAGACCTGGTTGTCCAGTAATGTGGCAAGACCTGGGGACTTTTGGGCCCAGAGTCAGTGACATAGCCAAAAAGGATTAGAGTGGAGAGTGGAGCGTCCAGCTGATAAGAAGAGAGGGCACATGCACATGAACACCTACACTTGCAGATAATACCCACTTGACTTGGCTTCAATGACTGGATGATCAGAGCTCAACTAGAAGAAAGAAGAAGAAGAAAAAGAGTAATCTAATACCACTTGATGAACTTGACCTACACCTATGGATGCAGCAGCTCAAAAGAGGGAACAAGTCTTTATAGTGAGGATCATTCTCACGCCCTCCGTACACTGAGTAGACAGGGAAGGGCAACTTGGACATTGGCTACCCAAAATGGGGGGGTTACAAAGGCAAGAAGTGACTGGCTTACAAGCTTTCAAGAGCGAACCTAGATCCAGAGGGTGCGGAGGAAGGTGGAACCTCCACTGAGTAGTATCCAATCTGTCTGTGTGGGGCTGATGAAAAGAGATGGGGATAGGTCTCTTGTGGTACAATAGTGAATAATTGTTATCAGGACTGATTGTGAGGGTTGGAAATGTAAAGGCAGATGTTTTGTAGCAAAAGGAGGGGAGTGATTGACTTTGCAGTCCAGGAGAGGAGGTCCCTGGGACCATCAAGGGAGAAGAACAAAGTGCGGGACCCTATCCAGAGAACCAGTGATGCCAGAGATGGCAGAGATGATGACGTGGGGGAGATGGAGCGGCTGGGGACTATAGACCCAGAGAGGGAGAGGGGCTATGTGCTGCGGACCGGGGTTCAGGCTTGCAGGGTATACCCTTTGGTTGGTTGATGATGCATGGAGGGGATTGTAACTATGGCAATGAAACAATATACAACAGGATGAATGTAACACTAATGTTCTCCCATGTAAGCTATCACATAATTCATAGTAAAACATTAAAAAAAAAAAATGGCTAGAGGGAAAAACCACATTAGCTTCAAAGGAGCAACAATGAAGCTGACAGCTGACTTCATGTAAACAATGGAACAGGAAGTGAGTGAAATGCAGTATGAAATACCTGTTGAATGGTGATGCATGGAGGAGATTGTAATCATTGCAATGAAACGAAATATGATATGATGAGTGCAAAACCGAAGTTCTCCCATGTAAAACTATCACTTAATTCACAATAAAAGCTTTAAAATAACAAAAAAACCTTGCATGTGCTAATAAAAAAATAATTCACTCTAGAATTCCAAACCCAGAGAAGATATCTTCCAAGGACAAGGGTTACATTTTCAGACAAGGTGTTTGTTCCTAACCAATTTTCACTAACAAAAGTTCTAATGGAAATAATTCAGGCAGATAGAAAGATCTAAGAAAAAATAAAAAGTACAGAATAAAACAACTGAAATAGCATCTTGTTGTTGTTGTTGTTAAGTGCCATCGAGTCGGTTCCGACCCATAGCGACCCTGTATAGGGTTTCCGAGGGTGTAAATCTTTACGGGAGTAGAAAGGCTCATCTTTCTCCCGCGGAGCAGATGGTAGTTTCGAACCGCTGACCTTAAGGTTTGCAGCCCGATTCGTAACCACTACGCTACCAGAGCTCCTGGAAATAGCATCTTAACAGTATTTAAAAAGAAAATAACCAAAAATAAATCCTATAACAATAAAAACAAATAAATGAGAGGGAGGGAATTGGGCTCTAATAGCCTAGAATTTTGTGCTATACAGAAAACAAATGAAATGTAAATTTTAGATCTTGATAAGTGTGCATTTTGAAATTTTTGCAGGGCCTGTAAAAATTATTAAAAAATAAGAGGTTTCAGAAAAGTTCCACCTTCCAATTAATAATAGGGAAGAAATGGAAAGGGGGGAAAAAGTAATCTGCAAGAAGGCAAGGAATGAGAGAAAAAGAAACAGAACAGATGGGAAAAATAAACAAATAAACAAATAAAAATAAAAAGCAAAAAATTAGATGGGAGATATACATCCATGTTATAATAAATGTAAATGGACTAAAAACCCAGCTAAAAGACATCATCCATCTATCTGCTATCATTTAAAAAAATCCATCCTTATACGATGGAATGAATATGGAACTGAGGTTCTCTCATGTAAACTATCATATAATTCACAATAAAACATTAAAAAAAAATCCATCTTAATGGAATTTACAAGTGTTATTTCTAAAAATAAGAATATATAAAAGTTTAAAAGGCTGGGAAAAAAAGTACACTGGTATAATTCTAACAAAAAGAAAGGAAAAAAAAGATATAACTTTTATGTTATAGGGATATAAGAGATTACTAACATGCAGTTGGGAGATTTGAGGACACTCTCAGTTTTGTGCTGGTATACAGCTGTGTGCCTCTGGGCAAGTTAAATTGTCTCTCTCTCTGGGTCGGTTGTTTCCTTAGCTACAATGGGTGGATTATACATAATCAGTCACATTCTGTGAGCCCAGGCAGAGTTAGTAACTGGGGAAAATGGGCTAAAGGAGTAGTTGTCAATTAGTAAAGCAAAGTAGAGGAGCTCTGGTAGTGTAGTGGTTATGAGTTGGGCTGCTGACCTCAAGGTTCAAAACTATTAGCCGCTCCATAGGAGAAGGATGAGGCTTTCTGCTTCTCTAAAGATTTACAGCCTTGGAAACCCTATGCAGGCTTGCTATGAATAGAACCAACTCCACAGCATATCACTACCACTACCAGGGCAAAGCGGACTATTAGAATCATCCAAAGATATTCTAACCCATTCCATCACATACATACTCTGGGATATCAAAATCTAAGATTTTGGTGTGTGAATAAAAACACTTTTTTTTTCAATTGATTCTGATATTTCCACATATCTCCTCCCTTATCCCATTAGGAATATGTTGTTGTTGGTAAGTGCTAGCGAGTAGGTTGTGACTCACAGCGACCCTGTATAGCATTTCCAAGGAGCAGCTGGTGGGTTTAAACTGCCAACCTTGTGTTTCATAGTCTAGTGTTTATCCTAGGGCGCCATACCAGGAGTCCATTAAGAATTAGGTATGCTAATTCTCAGTGTACTGTGATTTCCATGGGACAGTGGGAGGGAAAGAAGTAGAAACTGGGACAAAGTCATTGTGTGTGTATGTGGGGGGGGGGGGTATCCCATAGCCTGGGGAGAGCTGTGACATGAAATTCTCTAGACAGGAGACCTCAGGCTCTGGTACCTCTCTACAGCTTCCACGGGCCCCAGGAAGACTATGGCTACCACAGTAGTATTTTGCTTGTCATGGGAGAAACCCGAGTAAGTTAGAAGAGATGAATTTGTTCTGGTTTTGCGGCCATTGGGGAAGAAGAGTAGGAACAGATCGCATCTCCAAACTCACCCACATCCTGCTCATATCACTCAATTCATTTTTGTATCTCAGAGAGTCCTTCAGGACCTGGAGGGGGAAGAGAACAGGCTATAAGAAAACAGAAGAAGGGGGACAGAGAGCAGCAGTCAAGGATGGGCCTGGGTGGGGAGCAGAGGCGGTTACTGAAAAGAAATGCACCCATGTCTAATTGGCAACTAAGAGGCCAGGAGAAAGGGGCAGCTACCCCCTCTCAGGGTGGGAGTGGAGAGAACCCTGTGTGGCTCAGGTCAGAACACTTTCCCAGGTGCCTCCCATGGCAGTCCGAAGTACTCACGTTTGGGTGTCCGTCTCGGAGGAGTTTGTGGAACACGTGGCAAAACTTCCAGCAGAGCACAGCATTGCTAGAGAGAGGCAGTCGGTTGACAACAGTCCAGAAAGTCTGCGCTCCTTTCTCGTGGTGGGTGCCCAGTATGCATGGTGAGAGAAGGTCATGGAAAAGACAGACTTGGGTTCTGGACCCGGGCAGTCAGTTCTGCGGCTCCAGCCTGCAAGGCTGGCCGTCATGCAAGGTACCAGAGTACTGCCTCGGGAGGGACACCATTCACTGCCCGGACACCGCAGATCTGTAGATGGACTTTGGTAATTTGGGGCGGATAAATGGGCTATTTCTAATAAAATCCATTTTGCTAGACAATTTCCTCACAGATGGACCTGTCCTAAAGGGCAGAGGGGTGTCTCTTTCTCATTTGCCCAAATGCGCTGGTCTGTAGGCAAGACTGTGTTCTTCTTGTGGGTGTGTTGGATGTGTGATGAGGTCCGTGGGGAATAATCATAGTTAACGTTTTAATGGCGTCGTGGTGTGACTCTGGAGGATCAACGTTGGACTGCTAACTGCAAGGTCGGAGGTTCCAACCCACCAGCTGCTCCTCATAACCCTCTTAAGGCTCGCTATGAGTCAGAACTGATTCGCTGGCACTAACAACAGCGTTTAAATTACAAAGAACAGTTTCCCAAGTTCTCTCCAATACATGTTTCTAAAAGCTCTGGCTTTTCATCAAGAGCCCCAGCTCCAGTTGAGGATCCTTCACCCTGGCCTCTAACTTCTCTCCATCGAATCGGCTCCGCTCTTGCCTGGAAAGCAGGAGTCTTTGTTTAAAATGTCCTTCCCCTAAACTCGACATTACTACACGTTATTTTCAGAGTGCCTCTATCTCCCAACAGCTTGAATCTCCTGTATGTGGAATTCTGGGGCCACTGCCTCCTGAGATCCAATTCAAAACATACCTTCCAGCCAAGAACTGTCAGCTACATGAGAGCAGCACATCATGTAAGTTCTCATCTGGCCTGGCGTGACTTTCTGTTTAGTACAGGGTTTCCGAGGCTGTAAATCTTTATGGGAGCAGAAAGCCTCATCTTTCTCCTGCAGAGCAGCTGGTAGTTTCGAACTGCTGACCTTGAGGTTCGCAGTCCGATTCGTAACCACTACGCTACCAGAGCTCCTTTTTAGCATCCTAGAGCTCTGTAATTCTGAGCTGCCTTGTACTTTGGGAGGAGAGGATTTCCACATTTCTTTTCTAATTGTGTAAACAGGCCATACAGACCTGGTAATTGGGCACCATCAACCATAAGTACAGTTCTCTACCTAGAACTTTAGGCCTCTTTGACAAAGCTCAGGGAAACACAGTACCATTTACAGCAGAATGGAGCACAGTAGTTCTGTAAGATAAGCACTGGATTGCAAACCCTAAGGTCGACAGTTTGAGCCCACCAGCCACTCTGTGGGAGAAAGATGAAGCTTTCTGTTCTTGCAAAGACGTACAGCCTTAGAAACCCTATAGAGAGTCTCTGTGAGTTGTATATGACAGCACTTAACAACAGTAACATTTCTGGCAGAGAGACATGCCTCAGGTGAGAAATGTACACAAGTTGTGTGGCTTCCAAACAGAGGGGCACTGGAGAGTATCAGAAAGTTCCTTTTCTAAGCTGCCACTTGCACTGAGATTAGGGATGGGCTACGGCACAGATTTGGGGGTGTGGAACCCCAGATCCACTTTTGGTTTGGGAGCTATTTCTGGAACATTCTATGACTTCACCTCAAACACAGCCCCATCAGGCGGAAGGCAGCATGGGGGAGAGATGGGCAGCTTCTACCCCCTTATGCCCTGATGTCTCCTGGGACGACTGCATCAGGTTATCATGGTGGTGTGCCAAAAGAGTCAATTCCAACTCAGCAGCCCAGTAGGACAGAGTAGAACAGCCTAGAAGTTTCCCAGGCTGCTGTCCTTACACAAGCACATGGCCAGGTCTTCTCTCCTGCGGATTCGAACTTGATCTTTTGGTTAGCACCTGAGCGCTTTAGCAGATGCCATCACCAGGGCTCCTGAGAGTTGCTTTATCTGTGTGTCGTCTGTCTAGCCGGAAGCCAGAGCCAGAGCAGGTGCACACTAACATCTCTTCCATTGCCTCAGGATATGACAGTGGCAGGTATGGTCTTCTCTGTGTCAGTCCTCCACCCAGGAGAACACGCTGGCCTGTGACAAAGACTGCTCTTACTCCATATTTTACATCAGACAGGTCACAAGAACTTGGAAGGTGGAGAATATCAATATGATGAAGGCTTTTGGAATCAGGACATGGGTATCAAGGCAAGGGAACTCTGCCATCTTGGGGGCGGGGGCAAGGTCTAGCTAGGCTGGTTAGCTCAGATGGTTCTATGGCCTCTACCCTACAGAAAAGCCCTTTCTAATTCCAGTCAAACATCTTCCCATTCAAGACAAGTTGCTGTCAGCTCTAGAGCAGCCCAGGTGGCTATTCCATCAGCAAATATTGCCAGGTGCCTACCACGTCCCAGGTACCATGCTAGGCAGTGCTGCGTTTTCCTTGGTCACATAACGGTAAGGGTCTCCTCCTAGGACTGAGGCTGGAAGGACAAGTGGCTCAGATCTGACTAAATGGGGAGTCCAAGGAACAGGGACTTCCCCATTGCCAGACCAAAGCCCAGACTCCACCCCGCTTGGCCGCAGCACACATAGACAACTAGTCAGTCCCCCTGGAAGCCGCCTTCAGCTCCTGGACCCAAGGGCAAATGCCCAAGTTGTTGCCTGGACTTCTGCCCTTCACCCATCATGGGAGCTGCCTCTTTGGTAGTTTGGGCTTGGTGAAGAGCTTCCAAGTTACCTGTTTCCCTATTCCATTTTGAAGTTTTTGTTTTTTCCCGCTCTGACATCAGTTGAACCTGCTCACACAAGCAGATCTTACTTCCATCTTTGAGCCTCTACAGTCGGCATAAGATCAATCACGGCCACTATTGCTCAGAAAAGGGGACGACAAACACTCCTCCAAGGGAAGGGTCAATTTCACCCAATGGGGCCTGGAGAGCTTTAATAACACAGTTGAAGACCTCACCCATGCTCCAAGGAAACAATTCAAAGCAAAGTCACTTCAAGTGATGCCGTTCTGAAAGCTTGGGATCTTTGGGGAGCTGAAAGGACTGGGGAGTCAGCCTCTTCAGGTCCTCCCCCCCTAACAGTGCTGCTGTCTTTGAGACCCATGCTCCCCAAGTGCCTGCTGCCATCTGGTCCTTGTGGGGTTCCCCTTCCTGGAGGTGTGTGAGGAAGCCCCGCCCTGATTTCAGCCTACACTATTTGACCCCACTCAGGGTTGGTCTTCCAAGCAACATCCAAAAGGATATTTCTGGCGTGTTTTTCCTTCACAGCCACTTCCTGCATGTTAATGGCCTTATTGATGCTGACAGTCTGAAAAACAAGAGGGAGGGGAGGGGGACACAGAGGGAGGTGAATAAGCTTCTGAAAGTGGCTCCAGACCTTCTCAGATGCCCCACCCCTCTCTTTCCTCCCTCCAATGAGTCCTCTCTCTCACGACACCCACCCCTACCCCACTGCAAGCTGGCCCCTGTGTGGGTCCCCAGCTGGGGGGCAGAGGTGGGCAGCTCTCCCAGCCAGCTGGCATTGGCTGTGCCCAGCTGCTGCATCCGCCTGCTAGCCTGCTATTCATTCACTCAGCACAACAACACGGCAATTAAAGCCGGCACAAAGAGATGTTTCTCATCCCCCAGGGAAACATTATTTCTCGGGGAGCAGGAGGAAGAGGCCCTGAGATCAGGGAGCGGCAGGCCCATGACCATCCAACCACCCCTTCTCAAAGCTTAGACCCTTCCAGAGCCTCCCCTGGCTGGTCCAGGCCTGCAGGGGCGACGCTCAGCTCCATAGTTTTCTCCTTGTGGACATTTTTCAACTCCTAGTCACATTCCCTTTTATTTCTTTAATGACAGAAGAGGATATTAAAAATATCATTTCTTTCTGGTTGTTTAAAAAATCGTAACTCTCTTTTTAATTTAGCAAAACACATATACATATAATTAGAAGTCATAAACGGAACCCTATTGTGTAGGTTCTTGTTTAAGCGTAGGCTCTTTCTGTTTTACTTGTTTCCCTTCCAGTCACGTGAATAAATTATACACATCCTATACAATACCCTATCCTCCACTCACGTGAACATACTATAAAATACCCTACCATCCACGCACACGAACATACTCTAGAATACCGTATCTTCCACTCACATGAACATACTATACACATACACAAGTCCTGGTGTGGTGCTGTGGGATAAAGCAGTAGACTGTAGGTTGGTTTGAACCACTAGGTCAGTGGTTCAAACTCACCAGCTGCTCCTTGGAAACCCTACACAGGGTTGTTTTGGGTTGGCGCCAAGTTGATGGCACTTAACAAAAACACATACATATATACAGAAATCCTACCCTACACTCATGTGAACAAAGTATACACAAATCCTATACACACACAGAGTCCTGGTATGGTGCTGCGGGTTAATGTGCTGGACTGCGAAGTCAATTTGAACTGCAAGGTCGGTGGTTCAAGCTCACCAGCTGCTCCTCGGAAAGTCTATACAAGGTCGCTGTTGGTCAGAACCAACTTGATGGCATTTAAAAACAACAACATACACACATAGGAGTACTGGTGTGGCACTGTGGGTTAATGCACTGGACCACAAGGTCAGTTTGAATCATAAAATCAGCAGTTCAAATTCACCAGCCGCTCCTCCTTGGAGGTCACTATGAGTCGTAATAGATGCAAGGACACTTAACAACAACAACATACACACATATACAGATGTACCAAAATGAGCTGTCCTCAAGTCAATTTTGACTTAACTGTAAGAGTTTCCTAAGATTGCATCAGGGTGGGACCGCACTACAAGGCTTTCAAATGTCTTTCAATTTTCAGTCTGCTAGATGGCAACTGAGCAAGTTAAGTGTATCTGTATACACAATATACACAAATACTTAACCACTGAAGGAGTTAATTTTATCACTGTTCTAAAAAACTGCAAGTGTTTTTCACAGACTTTTCTACATATGATTTTCTCACTCAAAAATATCTCATGGCAAATTCTCCAAGAGGACTGATAAAATTCTAGTTCATTCTTTTTAAAAAAGACAACATCATATTCCAAGGTGTGGGTGGATGAGATTTATATAGACATTCCTGTATTGGTGGGCAATCAAGTTATTTCTAGCTTTTTGCCACTGTGAAGTATGTTTTATTAAAAACTTTTATATATAGACTCTAATTGATTGTTGTTTAGTGCCATCGAGTCAGTTCCGACCCATAGCAACCCTGTTCAAGGTTTCCAAGGAGCAGCTGGTGAGCTTGAACCACTGACCTTGTGGTTCAAACAACTTTGCAGTCTAGCACATTAGCCCACAGTGCTACCCCAGGACTCCATAGTTACTGATTGGCGCTTCTTAATTCCTGGGAGTGAGATGACTGGGTCAAAACGTATTTTTGATGTTAAGGAAAAGCCCAAACATATACAAATATAAAAGCTAGTCCAATGAGCACTTACGAGTTTGTCATCAAATATGTTTCTTCTAGGAGTCCTGGTGTGGTGCTGTGGGTGAAAGTGCTGGACTGCAAAGCCAGTTTGAACCACAAGGTTGGCAGTTCAAGCTCACCAACTGCTCCTCAGAAACCCTATATAGGGTCACTAGGGGTCTGAACCAACTCGATGGTATTTAACAACAACAATAACATACCAAGTGTTGGCAAACATTTCCTTGTAAAAAGCAAATTAGCGTACAATGAAAGATACATAGATCAATGAAACAGAGTTGAGAATCCAGAAATTAACGCTTCTACATACAGCCAACTGATTTTTGACAAAACACCTAAATATCTCACATGGGGAGGTGATAGTCTTTTCAACAGATGGTGCTGGCAGAACTGGAAAA